CACATTAGGATTTCCACACTAGATGCTATAGAGTTTTTCAAAAGACACAAAATTTCTTAAGGCTACTGAAAAAACACACAGTGCCTTCATACTTTTGCAGCAAATGTAGACTATATTACGTACCTTCTAAGCATTGCTAATACCGCTTTATGAATAAAAATTTAATGGGCATAAAATACACCTCAATCATAAACTTTCCTAATAAAAGTATAGCCCCGTTGTATTTAAAGAAGGGGTAATGAGCAACCTGGTATACACAAGAAACAACAACCAATCGAAAGTCACTGAGAAAACTTTAATCTGAGTAAGCGGTTATTGTTGCAGCGTGTTGCTCTTGCAGATGTCAGAAAGCTAAGAAGCTCAGTCAAAAGCCTGCATTCTAGCCTAAGTTAAATAGGTTCGGATTATGGTGCACAATAATCAATTCTAGTGCCACGTCTAAGCACTCTTTTCTAATCTAAAGTATTTCAGAGTTTCGGTAAATAGTTCAGCCACGGTAATTTAGTAACTGTGAGATATGATCATTAACAGCTATAAACTGCAGTGATTAACAGGACCACGCAACTCCTAGTGTTTTTTTCAAATTTAAAGACAGCTTTTTCGAATAATGGCTAAAATGCCGATGCTGGGCTTTTTAAAAATTAACAGGACATATTTAGAGACTTCCTAGCAGTGTTGCGCCATTGTAAGGTTACTTATTCCCGTAAGTTTAAAATACCTAGAATGTAGAAGACGCCGATATGTAATTTGCCCTTTAAAAATGCTTAATCCGTATATTAATTGGGCCAAGAAGTCTGCTTACGAAGAATAAGGCTTGTCACAGTAAACGTATTCGGGCTTTACAAGAGAAATTTTAGTCTAGGAAAGTTAGTAATCGATCGTTAATTGAAAGTTGCGAACTACCGACTTGCAGCGCTAATCAAAAAGCCTCGCACCTGACCGCATCCAACGCGGTCCACCGTGTGCACCCCTGCAAGATAGCACAAGGATCGTGGCTTGCTCGTGGATTAATTTCAAGTGATCAGAGACTTGCACAACATCTATCACACTCACTCTTCTCTCATACACATGGACCTGTTGTCATGACTGCGTCCAGAAGACGGGAGGTGGGGTCGGGTATAATTGGCTGGTGGGACCTAAGCCTGCATCTACGCGTGCCATCAATGCCTACCCCATGTTCGGCCTTCGTTATGTTAGCACAGTCCGAATAACGCCTGCCGCGCCCCCATGACTGGTCTCAATTTTGGTCCACCGCATCTACCACACGGCCCGTTTAGCTTGCATGACTTTCACACCTAATCTCTTGGTGTGGCAAACAACCCGCAATCTGGGAAAACTACCAACCAAGAAAGAGAAAATAAGGCAGACCAATTCTACCAGTCATACCTCATCCACAGGCATAAGGAACTCGTGGTCAGAAACTGGACTCTCTGGTCGTTGAACCCTAAGTCTAACGGCTTGCCAGTTAGCCGCTAACACATTGTACTGTCAGTTGCGATTGAGGATATGGACTAGCGTGCGGGGCTCGTTCATTGATCTGCGTACAGTATGGAGCACGTTGATAGCCCGAGCTTTGACGTCATACGTAAGGACCTCACGGACAATCGTTTACAGGTCGTTTGAAAATTGTCCTATAGACGTTAAAATCGGCTGAAGAAAAACAGGCGAAACATATATCGTGCAATTACCAGATCGGTTAACGGAAAATCCCTGGGTACTTCCTCATTATCAATATATTTACTTTCGTAACCAGATGCGAGGAATGCAAATTAATTTGATCTCCACTGTTCATGGTCACTACCGACAGGATGTGGGCCCGCGACGAATAAAGGTAAATGGTTTAATTCCCATTTTTAATAGCTGTCAGCGACTCCAACTTTCAGACTCTTCTGACCCCCGGTCGGGTCTTAGCTTGCTTTCACACATATTATTTTGACATGTATTTTGGTTCGAATTTTCCAACAAACGATAGCGCGCTGTTATGACGAATGACTGGCAATATTATAAGATGCACACTCAATCAGCTACCTCTATCAAATTTGGGGAAAACTTATAGGCGTCACTTAAAACTCGTAGGCGGTAAGTAAATAAAATTTGGCCAGGGGTTAAGTATCGAAACATAATCATCACAAAATTTAAGTTGTGACTATTTAATTAGTTCGATAACTCTACAAAGTAATGCCCTTGGTTTCAGTTGAAGATAAGTTAAACTGGTTGGATATCTCTAAGATCTTGAAAAAAGGTCGTACTTACAAGTTTAAGTAAGCTTTTTAGATGCGATTGCACTTCTGATAAATGCAAAGTACACGGCATATAGCGAACCAGGTAGAAAACTTCTATACAATCATCTTGAGAAGAAATATATCCTAATCAGCAGTATTATAAAGGTATTACGCAACCACTTTGTTCACTTCGTTATATAATGAGTGACTGCATTCATGAAATATCTAGAAACAGGCGACTTATAGACAATAACACATGGACGCTTCAGACCTAACTCCAGAAGCCTTTAATTAAAGTATGAGCAGCCTGAACCAAAGTGGATTAATTGTTTCGGATATGGGCCACCGATAGATTAATTAGAGAGAAAAGATACGAACCCTGGAGCATTGTTATCCGGAATAACTTTAAAACAGGCGCAAACAGACGAATTTAAAGATGCCATAATATTTCAGGTTGGCTTTTCCCTCTACAAAGAGGATAACAGTTTAAAAGTGCATAGAAGTTTGTCCAGAATCTCAATATGGAAAAACTGAATCATAGTTCGGAATTCATGGTCTTAGCATTGAAAATCGTTAGGGAAAAAGGGATAGAGCAAGGAAAAGAAGGAGTAAAATAATGTACGGAGAAGATTGCTTAAAATATATGCCTAGGGATTACCAAAGCAGGTTCAGTTTGTTACATTTTATTACATTTTGCAATGTAATATGTCTTTCTGCATGTAGACTGACGTCGAAGAGTGTGAACTCCAGTGCATGGTAGGTGCCCGACAACAGTGCTCACGGTCAACATGTTTATACGTAGAAGAATGGTTGTTTTACTTTTCTCTTTTGAACAGCCATTCCGAAAATTGTTCAAATGACAGAGATATCAGCGACCTGTGATTTCGCCAAGGCTAATGCCACATCATATAAACCAAATGGCCTAAACACACTTTTACCCGGCTTGAAATGTACAGAAGATGAACTCTAATTCTTATCCCGGAATTTTGGTTTTTTCAAATTTAAATTCATACAGCTCACTAAACTGAAAACCGCCCAAAGTAATAAGTGGTTAATATGCCCGTGGCATAAACCTTGCATTAGCCCTTACATAGACGTTAATCGTATGGTTAACCTTAGCTCTAAGTCTATTTAAAAACCTGCAGTAAACCTTGAACTCTCCCGTAACCATAGACTGGAATGTACTGTAAAATAACACTAAACTTAACCCGAAACCGAACCATAAACATTCCCCAAACCTAAGCATATAGCTAACTCTTTTGCGCTTGGAGTTTCCTAAAAGGATTCATGCGTTTCGGGGGCTCTTGTTTTTGAGTCTTGGGCTGAAGGCATATGAGTCAATACCGCTGACACTTTCATTAACCGTTTTATTTTTAAAACTTCCTTAAGAAATAACCAGAGAACCTATCATTTTGAGCAATCCATTTAAAGATTCAAAAGACACCAACGTATGTGTTGGGTTTTCAAGGAGTCCTTAAGATCAATCAGACATAAACGTCCCCAGATAGACTCGATATCTGCCTGGGATTGAACCCTAAGAGCATTATAAAAGAAGACGACCGTTGACCTCCCTAACTGCAGTATACAAACTTCTAAAATCCTACCAACCTTCACCGCACCTTTATAAAACCTACTTAGATTACCAGCATCTGAACAACCATTCAACGGTACATTGTACTAGTATTTAATCTAAAAACGAGTTTGCTTGATTTTATGTTATTGATGTTTTGTTCATTACAATCCTTACATGAATAAGCATTATGTGGTTTGATGAATAAAGGTATCCGGTGGAAAGTCGGGTATTTTGGCCTTTCCAACCTTCCTCGAAAGTCTTTGCATTCCTAAGCAGTTTTTAAAATTTTGGAAAAGTGCGTATGTTTTTGAAAAAATATGTCCGTCATTATAACTTGCACGTTTTGGCCGATATAATGGAATATATATGCGATCGTTTGTATGTATTCCCGAATTTACACTCAATTATTCCTTAAGGCCATCAAAATATATTTGATTTTCTTCATCCTTTAGGGGCCCTTAAAAGGGAAACTGTTTATGCTATATATACTCTTTTTACGACAAACAAAATTACCGGCTACCCAAATCTTCCCAATTTATATTTGGACAACACAATTGGTAGCTAGTAGTTGACCAGCAGTGGTGCCACTTATTGTTTCAATTCGAAGCAATCATTTTATCTAAAAAAAGTATTTCGAAGAAATCCTAGCTATGACGTACCTTTGCTGTTCTCTTTAGTCAGCTCTTTGCATAATCTCACAAAATATCCCCAAATCCAGCATAGTAACGTGACATGATATTATTTATCTCATTTGTTATGCTTCTTAAATGAACTAACATTCCTTGCGGACTAAAATTGCCTTCGATCGTTTTTAATGCTTCCATTGTAAATAAGTTCTTAAGTTCTCAGTTGGCGTTTTGTCTATGACGCTTTCGCATGCTTCCGAGACATAATGCTTTTAGTATTTATTTGGGAATATTGGAAGATAAAGATAAATGGTTACCGGATGACCCAATTCTCAACCCTCTCCGTTGCTCTGTACTACTGAAAAACGTACTCTGATGTAATGTAATATATGAGAGTAACCCTAAGGTCTCCTTCTCAAACTTTTAGTTGTCTTTCTGCAATTCTATGTCGCAGACAGGTCATGCAGTGTAGGTAGTCCCTTGTTTTGCAAGAGATTTCTCAGAAATGCCTATGTTTTGACCAAGTTTATTGCAAATTATTTGGCAAAATATGTTTAAAAACTTTCATTTCGAGTTGGATGACCCTTCCAGCATTTTTGGTGAACAAATAAGTATAAAATTGCCTTATTTAATCTAGGCAGTGTGTAATCAGGCCACATTCTCGAAGAAAGGGTTCTTGTGAATGAATATTTGCTTTGCTGATTGCACAGCGACATGTGATATTTGTAACCCTTAAATAAACCTTAAAGAGTAGCGATATTGTGAGGTACCAAACCATCAGTTTTAATTCACCAAAGGAAATATCAACAAATTTTTTTATGAGGTATAGATAAAAAATATGACAATGTTTTGACCTCCGGGATCGAGGTTTCCTTTGAAGCAGACTGGATTGACAACACGTCCTTAGCCCAATCGGAAGACTTGTACAGTTGTGTCGCCGTAGGTTGCTCTCATGAATGATCCAGGCGTATATGTAACAAAGCTGTAATATAAAAATATGATAAGTTTAAAAGTGCGATAAATTATATATTTCAGTCACTTAGGGGTGATAAGTCTACCTGCCAGATGCTGATGCTCCTGTGTCTATAAAGAACTGCCTGCTAATCTCACGTGATAAGGGACAAAGTTATTATTTGAAGTACTTATATTTTATTAAATTGAACAGATACGCAAATACAACTGCCGAATACGCATAAATATCTACAACATTTTTCTCGAAAACATTTAGAAAGTTGATATTAAGAACTTTTTGAATAAAAACAACAATAAGACTTCTCAGAAACTGAATCAAAGTGCTAAATAAAATTACTGAGGACTGACGCTAAGTTTGTAAGAAATATCGACCATAGTTACAATTGTTCGTAAAATCCTTGTTAGAATAATATACACAATAACTGAGACCTACCAGGCGAAATCCTTCCCAACGATGCAATGCCAGTACTTTGATTCCATTTCCTCGTCCAGAGCCTCCTTAATAGTCTGTGCCATTGATACCTCTGCTCCTGCAGTTGTATCCTGGAGGCGGGTTTGAATAATGTTCATAATTTTATCCCGATTTGCCGTTTTAACATCTGTCTTTTCGACTATAAAGGTTTTCGGCACCGGCTCCTCATCATCAGCAAAGTTAGTACGAGACCCATTCATTGCGTATGTCATCGCGGGTGATCTGGACTGCCAAGTGTCTGCAAATTATCTACCGACTTTAACACCATAAACAAGATTGCCAATCGGAAAGAGTTTGCCAATCACAAGAGCAAATGAGCGCTAGAGACGTGTGTGTGTTGCAGTCTGTCTGCACTCCTTGACGGTGTATGACTAAGTCCTCGCCGAAGGAAAATTGAGCAGGCTGATTATTCGAAGTTGAGCCGTGTACAACCGTGTACTGCATTTTACATTGGGTGCTTAAGTGTGTGCAGTGGCAACGATGCATAATCAGAAAAAAAAGGTTATGTTGCACAAAGAAGCCTCAAATAACATTAGTTTTGACGTCAAACATGTAAGGCCAGCCCTTGTGCAATCAAAAGAAGAAAAAAAAACGGTTAAAAGTGGACCCTGTCTTTTTTAAAAAAATCTCCTTATTAGGCTTAACATGTGTATTTCACCTACTGTCCATTTATTTCCACAAAAGAAAGTACGCCAACGGGTACGCTTCTCGTAAAAAGAATGGACTCGTTTTCTTTCCCCAAAGCCTTTAAACTGCTTATGACATTAAATAGGTCACTTGACTTTAACCCAACTATTTTAAAGACCGCTGTAAAGCAAACATCCTGTTTCAATTAACCAAAAAACTAAAGTAAACTAAAGTAGGTATTAGTCGGCTTTTACAAAGCGAGCCAGGAAATCTACCGGAATGTTAATTCAAGATTCGGCTAAGACACAGTAGAGATGTAGGTTTTTAAATTTATTTGATTTTTTTAGATCCGAAACCTCTAAATCACGTGATTTGCTTCTTTTACTTCACCTTTAAGCAAAGGTTACTAAGCTATATACCTCAGTTACAATTTGGACTAATCTTCTAGTCCATGTGTCATTAACAATCAATTCACAAAACATACGTCTTATCTAATTCACGGCTACGTGTTTATCATTAACCCTTCCACCGAAACTGAAAATGACCGAGTTTGACTTGTTATTTCCTCGGGCGTATCTATGCTGCCATTACGATTTTTTCTGAATTCTCATTTTACCTGCTACTTACGATAACATATATTCTAAGAACCACAAACTCGGAAATATGACTTTGCCCAACGGATTTTGTTCTGGCTACGAGAATTCCATTGTCATCAAAGCGGCTATGAGATATGCCCAAGCCGACAAAACTATGAAGCAATTAAAATTTAGCAGTCGCATGTGCCAATCTGTACCTATCACAGGCCACTACAGGCACGCAGACTGGTTTTATTTCCGAGAAAAACGTACTAATCTGACCTAATCTGATCGGTAGGAAACGTATTCTCCAGTGCTGAAAATTACTTATACTGGGTACCAAATCCAGAGGCCAGGAGTCAAACGTCATCTAGAAAAACACGTTTTCTTCCTGTAGGAGTTTTTATTTTTGAATAATACTTTAGAATTAAACTTTATACAACAGTAGTTTAAATAGTTCATCTCATATTCTCCTAGATCCAGCATTTTGTCTTACGGAAATGGTGGTTATAGAGTTTTTGGGTGGGAAATTAGGATAGACCGTGTACTATACTTTAATAGATGTTATATGCAGTTTCGTTTTATTCTATTTAAAAATGTTTTTCATTTGCATCTCCAGATTTTCCAAATCTGTATTATCGTTTAACGCATTGCAGAAAAACCTGATTATGAAGATGTAGGTTTCTTGAAATTCCTGAAAAAACAGAAATGGTGGTTAGGAGGTCGCCTACCTCCAATTACCTGGGGTCAAAATTAGCGTTCTCTACTTATATTTGTGTTGTCCACCGCGCGGATCGCCGCACACACCTTCAATTTAAATGCGAAACCACTTAACCCCAACAGCCGCGGGAAACAAATTCAACTGTATTTTTTCACTTTAAACTTACTTCTACAAATTTCCGTCACTGCCTATCCTATTTCGCCACCCACAAAACCCCCCTAAACCATCGTCTACGTTGGACAAATTACTCGAACTAGCGGCATATGACGTGCACTTCTTAAATAACCTTTACCATAAGTGTTAAATATAAAGTGTCAAAGTTGGGAGCTCGTTCTGAATCATGTCAGAGTTGTTAGCTGAGTGTTTAGCTATGGCAGATTAATGCACTTCGACCTGGGGAGTGTCACAAGTGAATTCACAGTCTGCTCGAAACTGTCGCACTAGAAAATTGTATAAATGTATAAGAACAGTATAAATGCGCACGTACAGTAGCCGCCGAAGAC